GTCACTAGGGACAAATGCTGAAATAACAAAAGAAACCATTGTATCCTTAGAAACGTTCGTTTGCAGCATGTATGGAAAAAAGAAATTATCCTCTGTTGATGAAATAAGGTTAGAATTGTTTTTGCAAAAGTACAAACCGAAAGGAAAAGACGAAGCACTAGCATGTGTCAAAAAGTTTGACGGGAGTTCTTTGCCACCTTGTTCTCGGGTACTGTATGAAAAGATTCGCCGGACAAAGTATATTGCCGAACTATGGCTGTCATCAACATCACCCGCTCCACTCGATCAATTACCTGAGGAAATGGGTTGGCAGATTGTAGATGGTCATTACACTGTGAACTGGTTTGATGGGGAAGTGTCACCTAAGCCGATAGATATAACAAGTAATGAGGATGAATTTGAAGAAGACCTCACAGAAGAAGGTAAGCCTATGTTGATTTTTTTAATTGTACCTTGCTAATAAAGCGTATCGATTTTGACTTCTAAATTCAAAGGGAATACCAAACAAACAAAAATATATATACTTGTGTGTTTTTAAGACCTAATCTCAGACGAAGAAAGAGACTACACTAATAGTGATGACAGTGATAACACCCATAGTAAAAATTGAAAACAAAGAAAACTGCAGCAAAAGCTGGTTAGAGTAATTACAAATATATAAAATACGAGTAACAAAACTACAGTTTTAATAAAACACAAAACAATAGACACTCCGAAAATTGTAAACATTTTAATTCTTTACGTTTCGACTATAATTTAAGTCATCTTCAGAAGAATTAAAATGTTTACAATTTTCGGAGTGTCTATTGTTTTGTGTTTTATTAAAATACTCTATGGCAACCGCAAATTTTAAAACTACAGTTGCTTATTAATTATTATATTTTGTATTTCATGTAGATGCATAATGATCTTCAGTTGCAGAAGGTTTATGAACAGAAAGAAATAAACTCATAAAGAAAACAGATTTACATATGTTGTGTTCCTACTTTGTTGTCGATGTATATCAGGGCCTGATCAGATGAGTCCGGTTACTGACCATTTATTTTCTTTCGTTCTGATTTATAAACTAGGCAGAAAACTAAGTAAAAATTGTCGACGTTAACGGCAAAATTTGTTACACCGGACCAGCCCGTTTGTTTCTTCACATGAACGCGAAGTATGTTTTTATAGTAAAATAGGTAGTGACCAGCTCAAGTGATAAGACCTTTAAAGATGCGGTACATTCCGATCTGCGCATGTGCACAAAGGAGCCCTCTTTTTATTTGTGTCTTCATAATTTATTATACTCTAGAATCATGAAATTATAAATAGTTGTCGAATAAAATTCAATATTTTGGATACCAAAATGTAAACAAAGCCTTTGTTTACATACGGACTGTACCGCATCTTTAATTACGAAATGTAATCAAAAGTCTAAATAGGGTTAAAACGTTGTCTGACTTAACAAAGGAACCGTAATTTTTGGTAAGCTTTGTTGCCAATTACCTTTTTATGACGTGAAGATTGTTCACACAAAGATTTGAGTTTGTAGTTAATGGGATCTAATGATGATCCCGGATTGTATCTTTGCGGGGGGTCTGACTAAGTGTTAGAACCGTATTTTTCGGTTAGCTTTTCCATATTCTCTTTTCTATAGTAAGACTGCATATGCTAGCACAATTACAGCCTTGAGGCTAATGAGGTCCATTAAAGGTCCGAATTCGAGGCATTTGTAAGGGCCTGGACCCCAAACGAACCCAAATCGGGCAAGCTGACCAATGAAAATTTTTTGCCCTTGATGGTACCCTTTCATATTGGGGGTGAGCACTTTTGAGGAAAATGGGTCATAATGTTATGTTAGTAGCTCCTGGACTAAAAAAGCACATGTAATCCAATATCGCGAAAATAATTACGCGCCATTTATGCACCGTTTTCGCACCATTTGGAGCTAGTGCCCAATTGCATCACGGGAATGTACTTGCCAAATGTACGATTGTTTGCAAATATTAAAACGATACGTTTATGTTGTTGCAAAATAATACTTTGTCATTGAATGTTTTGTTATTGTTAACAAATGTCTTGTAACCGCCACAAAATTATAGCAAAAGTATACTTTATCGTTGCCAAATGTGTTATTATTGTAGCAAAATGTTACGTTATCATTGCCAAATGTGTTATTGAATTTTGACACACATCACCCGCCATATAGTACGGCCCGGCTGGCAGCCGAGCAATCGGAGACAAAATTTCCGGCTGCTAGCCGGCGTCAAACGCGCTAATCGGGTGGAAGAGTAGTGTTTGGGCTATAAATTTGCCTTTTTCGTTCAAGTTTTTCAATGATCGTGAAAGTTTTTGACAGAAGATGAAAAAAATAAGGTGAGGCATTGCAATTTATTAGGTAAAAGCAATCTAAAGACGTTCTATTAGCAAATACTGACCGTTTTACTTGCTTGTTAAAAGTTGTATATTTGTATATTGAATAAAAATGTTTGGTATATTCTTGGGTAAATTGGCACGGTACACCTATTTTATCAGATACTTATGATGTTAGTTCAAATCTTCATAACAATGTGCTTACAGTAAAAGCGTTGTTTCATCCCAATTTTCCGTATTTAGCACAGTTGAGTATTGTATAGTGTCTGTTTCCATATCGGACATATTTTCACGTTATTTTACCTGATCTGGATGTATTTTCATGTATATTTATACAAATACACAACTAAGTATTTACAAAACATGTTTACATTTCGCAGCACAGATTATAACTTAAGAAATGCAGAAATGAAGCTAAATTTACCAAAACCACGTACGGACTTTATGAAGCGTAGTTTCTGCTACAGTGGAGCAAGTTTATGGAATGCGCTTCCTCAAACTGCACGTACGTCCAAATCATTGAGGCATTTCAAAAATGAAATTAATCAATTCTTGACATTATAATGGGATCCCCACACGGCAATCTTGGAAAACAGTGCATTTTAGTTAGGAAATTAGTGTGTATATAGTAATGTGTGAAATTTATTGATAGTTTTTGTATTTTATTCTACACTGAAGATTTTACCGTGTTTAAATAAATGTTCAATGTTCAATGTTCAATGTATTACAAACACACAACTAAAAGATTCCTTTTGTGTTTCTTTCACAAATAACAAGTGTTGTCTTCTGTAAAATAAGGGGTTTTTTGAAGTTTGAAATTTTGTATAAAACAAACTGATAGACTATAGTATAGTATCCAAATGTGCTGCATGTGAATCAGAAACATTGCTAACTATGCCCATATCATAGAAGCATTTCATCTATTGTTTTTTATTCAACCAGGTATTAAACAGCATCAGAAAAGTCATAAATTGTTGTTCTTTTATGTTATAATTATCAAGGCTATAATTATAATATAGAGACTGAGTCACCATACGTTTTGTTGTTATGTACTCTGGTGAATATGTTTGTGGTGTTACTCTGAGTATGCATCCACACTGGGCTAACTGAAAAGTTTGCCTGACCACGGTCAGGCATGGTGGGAATCTAACCCACGACCTTTGGGTTATCACTCCAATGCTCTACCAACTGAGCTATGAGGTTACCTAAGTATATAACACTAACACACACAAAAAGTATCATGTCTTAGAATACATTGATATCGAAGGAACCACACTCAGTTCCAAAATATCACCAACTCGAACTGACTTAACCTAGTAGTTCAGTTGGTTGAGCATTGGACTGGTATCCCATTAAGGTCACAGGTTCGATTCCCACCATAGTCAGGCAAACTTTTTAGTTTGTCCCGGTGTGGATGCACACGCAGAGTAACACCACAAACATCAAGTTATGACCATGTTTACACTTCATCCATGCCTGACAATCACTGACACAGGCAACACATCAATTTGCCTGAGTGTATGGAATGTACAATTCCTCTGCACCGGACGGCAGTGAGTCTAGGCTCTAGGAATTGCGTATCGTTTTGGTGCCAAAAGATTGAACAGCAATATAAGTTGCTGTGTACGCAAATTACTGATTTGTGCACAAAACTGGACAGCCTTTTCTTTCTATGCTGGGCAATTTAGGCCTCTAGCATGACTAGGTCAAGCTGGCAATGTGGCCCTTCTATAACACAGTATTATCCATGTCATAATTTTTGTTTCATTTAGTTTAATTTCTGCCTTCTGGACGTGCTCAAGCCTTGGCAACAAGTACACAGGTTTATTTTACTCTCTTGAAGACCAATTTGTCAATCATTGGATCATATTGTGTTGTCTTTGTAATATAATATATGTATGCCAGAATGGCAGTGCAGAAACATTAAAATATTTTACAAAAATATGTTGAATACTCTTTCATTTCTCTCCTAGTATTACATTATGCAAGATGTGGACACCAAATATATGGGGCTGTTCCATATGAGATGTGCTGGCATTACAAAATGGACCAGGCTGCTTAGGTACCCCCATTTCAAGTTTGTATTCAAATGTGGATACATGCTTTATTTTGCCATTCAGACACCTATAAATTTAAAAATGTAGAAAGCTATCCAAAATTATATTGCAATGGTGTCCACCCCTAGTGTCCACCACTGAATATATGCATTTGAACTATTGCAACAAATCAGACTTGTTTCAGACTCGTACACTTGTGCTTATTAAAATACCAATTGGGATGTTTTGAAAGTTTGTTTATAACAATATAAAGTACAGAACTAAGTAGTTCCTATGCAAGATAAAATCAACTTGTAGCCAATGTTCAAAAGGTATCTTTGAATGTTGGTAATATTTGAAACAGTTCCAAGGTTCTTTCAGACAAATCCAATTGAATATTGGACTGTGCTGGAACCATACTGACCACCTTCACTTCCTATTCTGTGAGTGACTTTGCCACTTCTATAAAAACAAAAAAATACATTAAATTCAATCAAACTTGTACACGAAAAACAGCTATAAACACATGGAAGTGACCACGTGTGCATAAAAAGCAGCTCTGCTCTGGATGAAAACCCTCAACATGCTCAAATCTATATAATATTACTGCAACATCTGAACAACAAAAAAACGTATTCACACTAGCTTTAAAGACCAAGACAACCCGAAAAATAAAAAAATATGATATGTACGATAGTTGTAAAGATTAACAACGATTCACCAGTTTAAAACCTACAAACATAGTCTGTATCGTGTACTGTATATATAAATAATAATGTTCTTCAACTCCATATTTAATAGTAATATTTGTAGCTGATAAATACCTCGATTAAATGTTTTATTTGACCAATAAATGAATAAATACAAACTATTTACCTTCCTCTTGGGTGTTTTGGTTTTAAAATCTAATTTTGTAAGCAAACATCCTCAAAATGTCAATTTTAAAACAAATCACAGCTCTCACTCCATATATTTTATATCGATTCCAGCTGCAAGTTACTGGCCAGACAGAGGAGGTACGACAAGCAATTAGCGAGTTGTCACGTGAGCTCTCGACCAATGAGATCGCTCTATTTTCCATCGTGTTATCTGCAGAATTTGGACAGAAAAATTTGCTTTCGACGGAAAATAAATCGGAAAAAAATATTAATATTAAAATCTTCTTGCAAAATTTCGAGTGTAGTAGTACTACTGCTAAAGATCTGGTGATATCTGTAGAAAT